CCCGCCTTTGCTTTCCTCATGGTAGATCCTCCGCCCCGCCCCCCCCTCTCGCTCGGCGGAATGTCCCCCGCCCTCTGCCCCGCACACCACGCATAGCACCTGGGCCCGCGCTCCGGAACCCCTTGTGACCTCGAGCGCGAGTGTCTTTTTTCTCACCCCCTCGCGGCCATCCCCGGCCACGCCACGCCAACCCATTTCTCCTCTCCTCCTCCTCCTCCCCTCCCACCCCTCCCCTCTCCCTGGCCAGCTGCTTTCCTCGCCTGCCCCCTCTCCCCTCCCTGTGCCGAGCGCATTTGTGCCCCTCACTGGCCACCGCCTCCACACCTGCTCCCCCCCCCGCTACTCCTACTCACTGCGCGGTCCTGGCTGGCCTCGGCTGCATGCTTTCACTCTTTCCCATTTGTCGGGTTCTTGTTCCTTGTACTTCACATTTTATACCCCCCTTCCCCCCTTCCCCCCTTCCACTCGCTGCTCGTCCTGAACGTTGCGCAGCGACAATACAGCATTCCTCCTTCCCTCCCTTCTTACCCTCTTTTCGCATGCCTCCCTCCCAGTGTCTTTCTTTTCACACACACACACATGCATGCGGCTGCGAGGGTAGACACGAATCTTTCGCGGCATAGGGGCCATGAGGACACATGTGGCCACACCCGTCGCCTCTCGCTGCAGGGTCCTCATCCGACAAGGCGGCCCCAAGGCATCACATTGAGACAAAATGGTGTCTGTGTTTTTCCCGCCCCCCCCCCTCCCCATCCGCTTGGCTGATATGCACCACCTTGGGCGATGGGAAGGGAGAGGGAAAAGAGGGAAAGAGAAGCACAAAAGGGAGCAATCACATCAGTTTGATCCAGCGCCGAAACCCTTATTGCCGAACCACTTCTCGTTAGCCTGGCGCACACGCTCGGCCGGGGTGAGTGGCACACCGGGGGCCGGAGCGGTGGCGGTGGCTCCACCGGTGGTAGTCCCCCGGCCGGTGGCGCCTTGCGTCCCGGTGAAAATCCCATTTGCCTGGTGTGCAGGCGTGGCGGACGTCGTGAAACCGCCATCCCGCTGCGCGGTGAAGCTATACGTCGAGGCCACACCCGATTGCGACAGAAGTGCCGAGGGCATGATGCGCTGGGTCTGCATGCGCAAGAGCTCATCGCGTGCCTTGCGCGACTTGACTGGATGTCGACATGTTGGCATTGGTTGGGTAAGGCTGGTGTCCAGTGGTGGAGAAGAGAGTGCGAGAGCAAGCGAGCGAGCGAGCGAGCAAAGGGAAATGGCGAGAGGAGAGCGTGGGGCGGGGGGGGGAGGGGGGCGGAGGAGGCGGAAGCGGGGGGTGCAGACAGCGAGCACAGTTCCAACATACCTTGGGTCTTCTTGTCCACTCGGATCCGCTGTCCGCTGGCACCGATCCCCTGGTTAATCATGCCGAGGCCGATCAGATCGCCATCACCGCCAATGATTTCCTCCTCGGCCTGGCCGAAGGCTGACCGGTTCTGGGCCTTACGCAACTGCGTCATCTGATACACCTCCTTCTGCTTCCGAGCCCTATGGTGGGCCAGGGGGAGGGAGTGGCGAACAAAAGAAGAGGAAGAAGAGGAGGAAGAAGAAAAAGATGTTAATGGTGTCAAGGTCAGAGGGGGGGGGGGGGGGGGGCGGGGATCTTGGCACAGGACAGGAAAGGCCATGGCTGGATGGCAGGAAAGCCCATGTAGGCGCACCGTCGGCCACCGCGCCGCTTGCGCTTATTCTCCTCCGGGACGGGGAGGATGTCCTCGCGCTTGGCCTGACCCGGCTCCATCCAGCGCTCAATACGAGAGGCCAGATCATCCAGGTACCGGATGGCCACACTGCCATCCGACGACTGGCGGAAGGCGTCCACCCGGGCCACGAGGGCCGTCTTGCCGGCGATCTGCCGGGCCACCCGCCGGCGAACGAGTGCCGGAGCCTCTCGCACGGCCGGGGCCTGGAAGATGAAGCCCATGTGCTGGGTCCCGGTGGAGGCCAAGCCCTGCGGAGTGCGCCGCGAATGGCCAAGAATTTGGATGTTCGAGGAGGGCATACGTGCCAGGGCCTCGATGCCACCGGCAGCAGTCATCAACTGTGCGGCGACCGTGGCGCCCAGCAGCCGGTGCAAATTCGGCGCGATGTAAGCCATGCGGCTTTGGATGAAGCGGACAATCTTTCACCGGGCCAAGCGCAGGGCAAAGGCAGCGCAAGGTCAGAAGACCCAAGGGAGAGGGCAGACACAGAGGCAGGATGAGGAGGGCAAAGGGAATGTCCATACCAGCAGAGAAGCCTCCGACAGGGATACCATCATGGTGGCGGCCTCGCGCACGCGGCGCATCTGCACGCTCCCGGGTCCGGGCTCGGCATTGATCCGAGCCGTGGCCACGACAATCACCGTGGCCGGAGGAAGCAACGACCCGAGATCCACCTTGGACATGTCGGTTTCGTCGCCGATCAGGAGAATCGTCCGGGCATACTCCACCGGGGAGGCGACCAATGAAGCCAGCTCCGGGAACTTGGGCTTGTAGTAATCAAGCAGGTACTGGAATGGCGGGCCGATAGGCCGGTCAGCAGGGCGCCCAGGCACCGGGGAGAGGGACGCCAAGACCGATGTGAGGACCAATGTCAGGACCAATGGCAGGGCGGCCACGGAAGGGAAAGGGAGATCGGTGATCGAGCACGCGGTCAAAGACCAGGACACATACCTTATGGATGAGGTCCATCTCGTCGTCGATCTCCAAGGCCAGGCGATTCGACCGCAAAATGAGGTTGTACTCCTGGTGATCGGAGAGGTTGCCGACAATGACCGGCGGCGGCCCGGACAGGGCGGTATCGATCAGCTAAGAGAAGGCCCACCACCGCGCCATGTCACGCCATAGCCCCGCAAGATGGCCAGTGTGGTGGTGGCATGTGGTCAGTACAAGGCCAACTCCCCGGGACCGGAGGCAAATTGAGGCGGGAACATACCGAGGTCAGTTCCGAAAAGCGGGCCGAGCCAGTCAGCTTAGCAATGTCCGAGATCTCCAGGTGCTGGGTATCCAGCTCGGCCAAATCCCGGGCAGCCAGCTGGGAGGCCTGGGCGTCGCGCTGCCGGGCCAGGCGCGCCGCCTCGCTGGCCGGATCATCGGCCCCCTCGCCGTCGCTGTCATCGCCATCATCACCAAACAGGTCATCCAGGTCGTCCATGAATGCGTCGGCCTCGGGATCATCCTCCGCACCGAGGCCCGCCGACATGCCGTGGCGCGTGCGATCGCCTCCCGGCTGTGATTTTACATGGTCGTCCAGGGCGGCCAGGTCGCTGAGCAGGTCATCATCGAGAATGTGCTCCGACTTGGACATGATGATGGG